CCGGCTTAACCTTATCTGCCCGCTTCGAAAACAACTATTGTGAATTTATTTTCTTAGAAGGTATGGACCGATCTCTACCCTACCGACTGCGTTTCATTCGCAGTTCCACGCAATAAAATGCTTACGAGACGGTTGGATGCAAATTGTTCTATCGTAATAGTGCAATTAATGAAAAAGAATGTCCTGTTCTTTCTCGAGTCTTATCACTTTTGCGTAATGCTAGTGGATCAATTTAATAGTGATGAAATGTTTATTGCATTACATCTTGATGAAACGTTGTTGGAATTTTATGTGAAGTATATATCGGTCGATAAGGAATCTTATCAAAACTACTTACCTGGTTTTATCTTAAGTATTGAAATAAAACTTATTTTATTTTTAACGCGTTAATGTTTCTGAAATAAATAGAAGTAAATGCCTTGGGTTTCCATGAAAGTATATTACAAAAGTTGCAATGAAATGTACGCTAATAAATTAGCAAGTTTTTACTAACCAATTGAAGAATTTTGGGCGTAACATAAATGTCATGCATTATATAAATTTCCTTTTAAATTTCACAATTTTTATTTTAGCATAGAATGCTAGCAGTGATAAAACTTATAATAAATAGAAAAGCAAATTGTTTGTACTGTTCAATATATTCATTTTGGGGGCAATATGTTAACTTTTATTTTAACATTAACTTTATAAACTTTGTTACACGTTATGATTCAAATCTCATGAAATTTCATCACGAGGTTTTATTATCGTATTGACGCATTTCGCAAGAAATCTTGCGAAATTCGTTTAGGTTATGTTGTTCAAGGTAAACTGGATGCCTTGTTTATTTGTGTACAATTCTTTTTTTATTGCCATTTATCGGTACGATCAAACGACTATGATACGTCGATATTTCTGTATGCTATTCCAATAATAATCGGATCAAAAATGTAAGAAAAATAACTATTAATCACGGAAAACAAAGATTACGTAAATTATCACGTAAAAATTACGTGATTGCGTAACAAAAATAATTAGAACCAAGAATATCAATTTCTTGACTCAGGCTTCATTAAAAAGTTATTAAAAAATTTCAAATCATTTTGGAAAAATTATTTTCGGTTGAGGGGGTCAATTACAATCAATTTTGGTGAATAGACATAACCTCGAAATCCTTCGCACTTTCAAGAAAAAAATTCGAGTAGGTGGACAAATTTTTCGACAAAATTAAAAAATTTGAAATCGTTCCGAAAAAATTATTTTTGATTGCTGGGCTCAATTACAATCATTTTCGGTGAATACACATACCTCTGAAATCCTACTCAGTTTTGAGAAAAAAATTCGAGAAGGTGTGAAATTTTTAGACGAAATTTAAAAAAATTCAAATCGTTCTGGAAAAATTATTTTCGATTAGGGGGATCAATTACAATAAGTTTTGGTGAATAGACCTACCCTCGAAATCCTACCCATTTTTTAGAAAAAAATTCAGTATGGGTGGAACTTCAAACGTTAATAACTTTTTAACGAAGCCTCCACCAACAAATTAGTATTCTTGATTTTCGTCTTATATTGGCCTCTAGAATCTCCCATTAAAATTTTTCCCAGGGTTGGCCGAACACCCTGTATACATCAGTAACAATCATAACTGTATAGATATTGGAGCAAATAATTTTCAATAATGGAAAAAATAAAAACGTTGACGAGAAAACTGTATGTGGAAGGCCGCGGTAGAAATGGTATTAATGTCGTGGCAAAAGCATTCTAGAAATGTTTGTAAATTGCATCGACGTGAAATTCGATTATGCAAATGGCGGGTAGTGGAAACGGAAGGTGTGTCCGGCCAGACAAAGGCGATTCCAATAAAAAAGGTGACGTCTGGTTAACGGAAAATTTCTCCGCGCGGCGGTGTGTAAAAGTTGGCGGTCGCATGGCAACGTCCCGGTTTTTCGCGCAGGCAAACAAGATCGTTCGAGAAACGAGAAACGGCCACGCGTAATCCCAGCCTTTAAAGAAATTCAGGTCGAAGTTTCTCGCGAAGGTGAGAGATAAGCATGGTGACCGTATGGTAACGGAATGAACACGAGGAGGCGTCGGGTGAAAGGCCGCTGATTCCTCGACTCGATTACACGCTCGTGCATGTCGTTGCATCGGGCACACAGAGGGGAAACCTAACCTATGCATGCGCATAAACACATTCAGGAAAGAGCGGTAAGATACACGGCGAACTTCGACGCAGCATCATGATAACGAGCCACGTTTTCGAACTTTGACCCCGACGGGTACGACCGTTCCGATAAAGACGTAAGTAGGAAGAGCTGTTAGTGTTAGACGACGAGGGAAAATCGTATCATCTTGGTACGGAGATTAACCGACGTGGAGATCGGCCGTAGCCTCTTACAGAAACGCTTAAATCTATACTTTTGACGAATTAGTCGTTATTACGATAATTCCACGTATCGTGAAACGAATATAGCGATCTACTCGAGACACACTCGAGTACATGCTAAGCGATACTCTTGTTAGGTACAAGTCGGCATATATGTAGGTATATTTTTCTCCGTTGAAAAACGGTTGGCAACAGTGACATGCCTAGAAATTTAGCAGGGGCGCTTGTAAAATTTAAATTTAGTGTTATTACTACTAATAATAGAAACAATAAAAATTAATAGTTTGTTTTTTTACAATCTTCTTTCCGAGACTTCGTTCTTCAGAATATTGATTTTAAAATTGCCCATTGCGGAACACCAAGCATAAGTGACGCTGACTCTTTTCAAGGATAAGCTGTCGAAACCATAGACACTCACCTGCAAATAAAATAAACGACATCGACGCAATGTCCTGCGTGCACATTCCTCTTGAATTTAATGACGCAAGGTTGACGTTCAGGTTCCAAGTATTAGTCGAGTTAACATTTGAGAAGCAACTCGACCAACGGTCGCGAGAACTTGAAATAACATTCACCTAGCTGGCGCTAGTGACGTCAGAGGAATGATTGATGACTTTACCGTGAAAAATATAAACGACGTTTCATTAAAAATTTTACCAGCCGCTGCGTGTAGAATTACGAGGCCGTGATATATTCGCGACTTCTTATACTTCATGTTTTCGTCCGTTGAAAAAGAAGAGTTATCTGAGGTTATTGAGGTTATGTTTCAATAACAGCATTTTAGCTGCATCTCGTCTTGCACACAAATTATGTACTTCTTATTTCATTCGTTTTTATATCATCTGTACCCTTGTATTATGCACAATAAAGATGTTAAATAAAATAAATAGAAAATCTGTATATTTTCACGCAAGTATGTACGGAATAATTGTTAGTTTTGTCGATGCAATATTAACTACATTGCAGAGTAATGATCTACGATTTATTAGTTCGTGGAAAAAAGTCAGATATTGAAAAAATCTTGTCATCGACATTTGTGAAGTTATTGAACAACACCTACCTTGCAAAAAGTGATTTTTGAATACGCAGCACTTTTTAAGGAATCGTGACACGCATAATTCAATACGCGTTCTACTAGTGTCTGAATACAATAGAATCGAACCATGTTACGTGACGGAACATACGATGGAAATAATACAATAATTAATACGATTCGTGTTTTGCAATAAGTATCACTCAAAATCATATTTGTATGACACGCAGTGCAGAATATTATTAACCCCTTCCCTGTCAAGTTTTTCTTTTAGTAGTTGTTACAAAAAGTATAATTGTATAATTGTACTTCGAAAATTAAATGAATATTCTTATAATGGAAGGTGTACTCCTTCCTTCTTAATGTTTATGAGCAATATTAGTTGATAAAAACATTGTTAAGAGCAACATGGCAAATATTAATATATAAATTTTTCTAAAAAATGAAAATCATGAATTTGAAAAATAAAACTCAGAATAAGTTCATGATTAAATAATAAGGTACACGTAAAATAGCCTAACGGTCATGTGCAAATGCCAAATGCGGAAATCGCGTAGTGTCGTGAAAAGGTGAATAACGGTTGTGTCAACTTGGCCAAGCAACCATGTTTAATTAGCGTAAAAATTTTAACCGACCGATTTTGAAGAGTTTATTCTTTTATTCTCCACGCCTTTAATGATGGTTAAAAAAATATATATAAACCCATTTTCTATCTGTGTCATATATGTTCTGTATAACCATATCACGTGCACCTTTAAAATAGAAAATATTTTGACTATCGTATTGCAAAAATTTTAACGTTGATGGTGACTTCTATTAGTCCTTGTAAAATCATCGATAATAAAATTACGCCAACGGCCGTCAAAGTGTATTTTTAGTACCATACTTTTATGATTGTAATATTTATATATGAATGCTTACATTTTAATTGATATACATATAATATGCATAAGTTATCCTCAAGGCGAAGTAAATTTTTTTGGTTCTCGTTGTTGATCGACGAGCGACGAAGTAAAAACTAAAGTAATAATCTTCTCGCAAAATATGGAACATCATTTATAAAAATAGACATTTTTAGGTGGCAGTAAGTGGCCCTTAACCTACGTGTAATAATTCAATTTTTGGTTGATGCATGGAACTGTGTGGACGTTGCTTTCGGTGTAATAATCGAATCTTATTTTTCGAGAAATTTTTACTAGAAATGATTGTAGTTGACCCCAGCAACTAAAAATAATGTTTTTAGAACGATTTGAAATTTTTTTTTCCGTCGAAAAATTTAGACACCCCTTTGTCAATTTTTCTTAAAAATTCGTTTTTGATTTTTACTAATTTTGTTTGACGTCCTATGGAAAAGTCATATAATATCTTTTTATAGGTACCCATGAGCTCTACTCCAGAAAAAAGTTTCATTGAAATATATTCACTATTGTAGGAGTTATGGCCGTTTTAAAATTGGACTATTTTTATGATTTGAAATTTTTTAATTTGGCTTATTTTGGTCTCTAGAATCTCTCAATAATATTTTTCGTAGTGGTGGCCGTACACCCTGTATAATCTCGTGAAGCAAGGAAAGGGTTAAACGCGGATCCTTGGGTGTTTCAGAAGTTCGGAGGATCACGGATCCGGCGTCGTTAGCGGGGGAGGAGTCAGCGGTGTCGGAGGAGTCGGCGTCGTCGGTTCCGGGATCGTCGTCGGCAGCGTCGGTAGCGGAGTCAGCGGTGGCGGCGGCAGCAGCGTCGCTGGCGGCGGCGGAGGCGCAGGCGGCGGAGTCAGCGCCGTCGGGAGTGGACTCAGCGTCGTCGTCGTCGGCGGCGTCGGCGGCGGTGGCGGCGGTGGCGGCGGCGGTGGCAGCGGCGGCATTAACGACAGAGAGAGGGACAGGGAGAGGGAGAGGGACAGAGACCGAGACAGGGATCGGGACAGGGACCGTGACAGAGACAGGGAGAGAGAGAGGGACCGGGAGAGGGAGAGGGATCGCGAGAGGGAGCGGGAAAGAGACCGCGACAGAGAACGAGCCAGCGAGGGCTTCGAGTCACGTGGCTCGCACGGAAGTTTCTACAGCAGCGAGAGAAGCGGCCGAGGGGTCGGTTCTGGGGGCGGTGTTGGCGTTGTCGGTGGCGTCGGCGGCGGCGGCGGCGTCGTCGTTGTTGGCGGCCATCCGGCTGATCCTTCTCCCGGTGATCCTGGCGGCTACATACCCCGCGGCCGTCCACCTCCTGCCAGCTCTTACCACGTGACATCGACCAGGGCGAGGGATCGGCTTTACTCGAGAACCGGCCCGTATGCCTCCGGGCCGCCGCCCCCGCCCCATTTAGACCGTCATCGTGGTGGCCTGCCACCGTCCTCCTGGTCGGCCTACGAGTCGACGACCTCGAGATACGGGACAGCACCGCCGCCACCCTCGCCTGCCAACAACGACGCCTACCAGGACGAGCAAGGTAATTGTCCTTATACGTAATCCGGTGCACCAGGCTTCGGCTATCCTTGGCTCGCGCGAGCCACGCTCTCCTCTCTACGCCACCGTTTCGCGTCTGCGTTCCGCGTCTGCGTCCACCTACCCCGCTTCTGTGATCCCGCAGGTGGATACGTTCTCGTGTTTCTTTGGCTGCTCGCCGCGTGCATACGTGTCTCTCTCGGTATCGTCTGTGCGCGTACGTGCGCGCGTGTGGTTCGCCGAGAGTCGTTCGGGGGATACGCGGGTTCGTGTGTTTGCTGTGCGACTCCCGGTCGCGGTCGACACGTGGTCGCGATCATCAAGGTTTTTCGAACACTTGACGATTCGCGATCGTTAGATAACAACCTTTAATGTTTAGATTCAATAGTTTTGCAATCGTACAATATTTTTTATTGGTCGAGCTACCATTGGAGTTTTAGTCGCGTCGAACATCCTTGACGAGTTCCTGGGATATTCTCAGTATTTGTTTAAATTATACACGGAAAACAACCCGTACTTCGCCACCTTAATTGTCGATACTTTGGACCGTGTGATATTTTAAATTTTAAATCGTTTACATCTCGAGAACGAAACGCGCTACTCAATATTTTATTCAAATAATAGAGTATTCTAATTTAGAATGCCTGTTCGTATTTAACGAGTAACTGATAAACATTAATTGTTTATTCGTTATTCCGATCCATTACACTTCGCGTTGGGTATAGATCGCGAAATCATGCGAACGGAAGGACATTGCTAATTAATGACAAAAATGAGGTACGCGCTCGGTCTAGATACATGATTTTGACTAGCAACGAACTACACTCGTTGACGTGCGCGTTACGTTGCATTATTAACACGGGTGAACACGCCACTCGCGTTTAACATTAATTCAACATTGATTTAGATACTTCGTTAAGTACTAATTAATCAATATGGCTCGTACGTTTTCGTTATACCGAAGATATCTCGAACTCGATACGAAACGTTTCGTATTAAATTTAGTTTTTTTAAATGTTGCTTTTGTCAGAATCGAACAAACGTTCCAATTTCTTCTGAATACCACGAGCTTTCATATGGAATATTAATTTAACGACGCGCGGAGGCGTCGACGCTGCACGGACGCGCGAAACAATGAGTCAATTACTCGCAATAGCATTGTCGATCGCGCGATGACGATACCAGAGGGACGGAAAATTAACGATAACGAATTATAACGACCTCAAATGAAGTTCGCGAACTTGGTGTCTTGCTTGATTCGTCGTTGAATTTCGCTGACCGTTGCAATTACGCTCGCAATAATGCATCGAACGATGTGGGTCTCGTACAAAATATTTTCGATCAATTTGACAAATTCTGAAAACGTTGTTCCAATAAATTTATTATTCCTTTAATTATTACCGATAATGTGCTAGAAAATTGGTATTAATTGGATAACTAGTTGTTACCAAATTTCAAGACATTTGTTCTTAAATTTGAGGCAAAATATAAAATTTTAAACAAAATTAAGTGATATCGAATGGTGCACAATCTTAATACAATTTTATGCACTGTTCGATGCAATTTCTGAATTTCTACAAAATAGTACAGACTTTAATAATTAATGCAAAAATTATTACAGTTAAAAACGCTTGGAACAATTACAATATTATATATATTGCTTAATTATTAAGCAATTAAATGTTTTTTGTCAAATAAATCCATTACTTCAGTCTTTTTTTCGATGCACGCCTGTTCTCTCTGCAACCGTGCGGTTGGTATTATTTTTTTTTTGCACGGTTGACCAATTTTCACTGATTTCACACTCGCTGTTATTCCGGTGGCTTTCAATGAATTCGTTATCGTTTTTGTGCATTCTTCATTTTATTCTTTAATTGCTTCGGCGACCTCAATAATATGCCTCGATGTGAAAATATCTTTTGGAGGCTTGCATCAAAGCATGCTGTGTAAACTTTTAATTGCATTTTGTGGAAGACACTGTGCACAGTTACGGTGTAGCTTTTCGTTATTTTGTTGTATATAATGTAAAATCGTTGACGAAATTTGGGTTAGCTTGCAAAAGAATCCTGTCCCCTGAACATTGCCTTTTCATCTTGCTTGGTACAATTTGTCTATGTACATTTTGCTTATTCTAAAAATTCATAGAAACCTAAGACTGCTTCTCAAAGGCACTGAACGTTAAGAGTTAAGAAAGTAAAGATAAGAAAATATTTTTAGATACACTGTCGATCGAAAGTATTCGATCACCTGTTACGTGTATGTTTGATGATAGAGAATGAGTTCGATTATTACTTTTAAGAAATTAACAATTTATATGATTTCACATGAAAGTAAATATTTATAATAGATATGTATTTAAGTTAAGAAATGCGACTACATTCTGTTAGTAAATAAATTTGGTAATTATTCGATATAAGGGAGGTAGCTTCGATGACCTTGACCTTGACATAAGTTGCCAAGGACATTCTCCCCAGGACGTTTTAGCCGTCATTTGTTATTGTTTAAACACCTACTAATAATTAAAAATAAAACATGAGGGGTGAAATCTATTTTTCTATATAGTTAGTATATGTCAAAGTTTATTTAAAATTCCAATGCATGGGAGGGTGGGGGGCTACTGTTCCTTTGAGTTAGATTAGGTATAACTTTAGGTATAAATTTTCAATTCAATACTAATTAAAATCTATTAAAAAAATTGGTCAATACTGTTTCTGTAAACATGCACTATAATTACTTGTGGGAAATCATCAGAGAAATTAAAAAATGTGATTCAAAATTTTAACTTGAAATTACAATATTTGCAAAGTCTAATCATTTTTCAAAAATAACGCAATTTATAAATTATTTTCGCAGTCATTTGCATCCAAATGGAAAGGTGATAAAAATAGAATTTCTTGGTCGTCTCTTACGAAGGGACCAGTTTCCAAAAATAGTGTCCTTGACAACGTAGTTCAAGGTTATCGAAATCGACGAAGCGTATAGTCCGGGCCACGATATAGCGAGCTCGTAAAATCAGGTAGTCGTCAAGATAAACGTGTTTCAGCTACCGAGACAAGCAGATTAGGACCTTAGACCATACTCAGGGCTCTACGAAGAAATGTTTTATCCAGTGTCGCCATTTTTAGAAAGCAATTTTTAGAGGTACCGTTACAGATCTCAGAAAGAAAAAAAGGTCTTACTCAAGTCTTTAATATCTTAATATTACCTGTTCATAATATATGGAGATAGAAAATGAAAATTCATGAGACATTCAAAATGGCGCCCTCAAGCAGCAGCAGAAGTCTCAAGAGTTTAGTTCACGACCTCGCTATATCGTGACCCGGAATATATACTTTAATGCGAATAATTACCGAAATTTCTTCAACGAGCATCACGTTCACGTTTATTAATAATGACAATTGTATCACTGCGTAGATTACATTCGTCGTGTTGTTCCACTAGGCGGCGGAGGCGGCGGCGGCAGCAGTAGCAGCGGCGTGCTACGACAGCACAAAAAGCAACGGAGAAAATCGCGAAGCGGAAGCAGCTCGCCGAGTGGCAGTAGCCGTTCCTGCAGCAGCAGCAGCAGCCGGAGCGGCAGCTCCGCCGGCAGCACTTCCGGGGGCAGCACGTCGCCCGGCAGTTCGCCGCACCGCACCGGAAATGCCGCCGTCACCGAGGACCGCAGGCCGCTGGCTATCTGCGTACGTAATTTGCCGGCGCGCAGCAGCGATACCTCCCTCAAGGATGGCCTCTTTCACGAATACAAGAAACACGGGAAAGTGACGTGGGTGAAGGTCGTGGGGGCGGCCGGCGACCGTTACGCGCTGGTCTGCTTCAAGAAGCCCGAGGACGTGGAGAAGGCGCTCGAGGTGTCGCACGACAAATTATTTTTCGGCTGTAAGATCGAGGTGGCGCCCTATCAGGGTTACGATGTCGAGGACAACGAGTTCCGACCCTACGAGGCCGAGCTCGACGAGTACCATCCGAAAGCTACGCGCACGCTCTTCATCGGGAATCTCGAGAAGGACGTCACCGCGTCCGAGCTTAGGAAGCATTTCGAGCCCTTCGGCGAGATAATAGTAAGTTGCGTGCGCTCGGTATGCCCGTTCCCCTCGGGATGCGATCGAAAACGCGCGTCACACTAATCCCTCGCCTTCGAGACGGAATTTCATGGAAAATGGCCACCCTCGGCCCCTTTTGGTAACGAACGTTTCTTGAAAAACACTCCGAGGAACTAGAAATATTCATGTCCAAAGCATTTCCAGGAGGGACCAAAATGGCCGTTTTCTACCATCCTTTACCAGCTGAACTTCAAATGCTGCTCGAGTATCTGCGTAGCTACTATCAATACAAATTAAAATCTTTTGTTCTTTCTTTTTCTTTTTTTTTTTAACGACAAGAGAATTCTTTGCATCGATAGGCAAATAATATTGATAATATATACAACATTGTGTAAACAGCAAGTCCTGGACTAGGTGGTTAGTTAGTGCCGGAGTTTTTCGAGTAAGTTGAATACTGTGTAAGTCGAGTTGTGTATGTCCCAGAATTATGGGACCAACAGAAAGACATAATCCTGTATAATATCACGATTTCGGTCGCAGCCTGTATCCGACATTGAATTTCGTAAAATAAATCCAACTATTGGCTTTAATAATGGAACTATATTCGAAAACAAGAAAGGATCGATAGATTGTCAGAGTTGATCCTGTCTATGTTTGCAATTAGCGATTTACTATCCTTGTCTTAGGCTCATCCACCAGATAGCGTGTCGCGTCGTAATTGATTATCTCGCGTTTCGTTATAAAATTGATTGTTACTCCACCGACAGATACGTGAAATAATTCGGTCGAAAATGATATTTAAGTTTCAATGACTGTATTAATACGTTTCAGTGATTTAAAATAACGATTACGTAATAGTAATAATGCTTGCGAACGATACGGGGTATAAATTAAACGTCGCTCACGAAATATATATTTTGCCAATAATTAAAACTTTAGTAATACACGTGGCTCGAAATAATTAAAGATCCATATACTGCTACGACTTTGTTGCTTAAAGCTGTTAGCTAATTAAAAAAAACTGAAATATAATTTACAGGATTCTGTGTCCTTAATCCCAGATATTCAGAATAATTAAAATTGAACAGAAATCTCTTAATTATTTTGAGCAACGTGCTTCTACATAAATAGAAAGTAAACGTAGAATTTTACTAAGCAGGGTGGTCCATAACAAGTATTTGGTTGTCAAAATTTTTATGGAACACCCTGCTCACGAACCCCAAGAATTGCACCACCAAAAAATTCCGTCAGTATTTAAGTATCGAATGGTTGGCGGTGCGAGCAGGAAAGTGAATACGATGTTTCTTTGATCTTACAGGAAATAGATATTAAGAAACAGGGCGCGGTGTCAAGCTATGCTTTCTGCCAATACTCTGACATCGGTAGCGTCGTCAAAGCTATGCGATCGATGGACGGCGAACACCTGGGTGCAAATCGTATAAAACTTGGATTTGGAAAGTCGATGCCCACGTCCTGTGTTTGGGTCGATGGCATTGGAGGTAATTATCATAAAGCGTGTTTGCAACACCCTTTTTCCCCCGCCCAAAATTGGCTTCTCAAGAAACTATCGACATACGAATTCATTTATCACACCGAGCGAAATAGTAGCTGCTCCGTTCGAACAAATTACGAGATCACTTTTGAACCGTTAACATATCGATAAGTCCTCGTTTCCTTGAAACTATGCTCGACGCCAACTTGGTTGGCCGCTCAAGGCCATCGAGGGGTAACACCCCCCGCCGTACCGTTTAGCTACTCTGCCGCTCTATCTCACGTCTCACAACAGTACATAACATCAGTAACGAAAGAAATAGGGACGTCAGGTTGCAGGAGTTCTGTTCGACGTGAGCTCCGAAGAATCAGGGTCCTTCCCTCCCGCTCTGTCTCCGTCGGTTTGGTACAGAAACGCTGGCTGATGCCGCGTTACGTGTGCGTAGTAGCCCGTGCAAATATGTACAATGCGGAATGTAGAGGAGGACGAGGGCCTGTGTACGCCGGACTAACACGACGACCGTCCGTGGAAGAAGTAAGTTAATGTAAGAGCGCAAGAAGATGGCATCGAAGAAGACGGACGAAGGTTGCATCGCGGTGATACCATTTTTCGTAAGTCCAAACGTGTTGTTCACGCAAGAGACATGTCTGTAGCAATATCTTGTGTGTGTGTGTGTGAGGAATGGGGGGGAGGGGGGTAGTTTGCGACGTCACACACAGCGGGGACGCGGCCTTGAGCGGCCAACCAAGTTGGCGTCGAGCATAGTTCCAAAAGGGCGCGGCTTACGCTTATCATAATTTATAATTTTCTTGTTGTACGAAACGTCCAGTTCCACGTAACGCTGAATCGCGTTTGCAACTATCTTGTACAAATAGACTGATAATTTATCGGCGATAGAAATTAACGCGAAGCTGGTTCGATGAGAGAGTTGCCAATAGCGTCAATATTAGCCTCGGGGTCCATGAGAGGGGGTGTGTAGGGGGTACGGGAAATTTCCCGCGAGCTCTGAGAAATGTTTTCGGCGTCCGTGCGCGTGTCATTGAACCTTAGCGAATAATAAACGGATCGAGCCAGTGGAAGGGGCCCATAAGAAACTTTGTACCCCCTGATAAAATTCCTCTCAGAGGCCCTGGTAATAGTAATTATGTTGCACGATTAACGAGCGCGACCGAGCCGTATAAATTTACAATTTCTCGAACGTTCTTTTAGATTGTATGTCGGAAAAGTACCTGAACATGCAGTTCAATCAGTTTGGACCGATATCTCAGGTCGTAGTGGATCGTGAGCGTGGGCACGCTCTGGTCTTCTTCGAGCAAATCAGTTGCGCGCAGGCCGCCGTGAAGGAGATGAGAGGAGCAGCGCTTCGCGGACGCCGGCTCCAGGTGGACTTCGCTTCCAGAGAGTGTCAGGAAACGTTTTACGAGCACCTCGAGCGGCAGGGCATCGCTGGTGAAAAACCTTGGGACACGAGGCCTTCCCCAGCGACGACCTTCGATGTCTCGTATGTATAATTTTTAGCGCATTATGTAGTCTTACTCGTAACACTACATTCTGGTTGTCTCTGTACGATAACGCTAGAAGACTCTGAAGCTTCTTAATTTACCGTAAACGTGTGCTCATGAAGGATTAACCTCTTAACTCTGGGCTCATTACAGAACACACTATTGATAAGTTAGCTACCCCCCAGTTAAGAGGTTAACATATTACAATGTATCGTAGATGTCTTGCAAGCTATTCGATCACGGAGGTTAATAATTTGTTTCGAACGGCCTGCTGATCGAATGTCTGGGTCGAGACACCTTCTATATATTGCAGGGAGCAATAAAGATCGGTTCTTAAGAGGGATTTACTGTTCTTTTCTATTTCACCCGAGTCTGATCTTTCTTTCTCCCCGCAATACATTACGGTCATACACATGAGAACATGAAAATATAGTACACTCGTTATTTGAAGGATTCCTTCCAGGCGGGAGCGTAGTAGTTTCGACACCGGGATGACGGTATCAAACTCGAGTAGCAGGTTCACCCGCTACGAGACGCCCCCGAGGTCGAGAACGGCGAGTTACTCCCGCACGTCTGGGGGCGGCAGCACGCCTGGTGCCAGTCCCGCGCATCCCACCGCGATGTCCCGTAGCAGTAGGAGGTCCTACCAGGACACCTATTACGACGGCGACTACAGCGAACCGGCGCCCCGTCGGTTCCGCAGCTACGACGAGTTCAGTCAGGGCAGCGGGGCCAGCCACGACGACTACCAGAGCAGCGTGCTGGGCGACGGTAAGCTCAACGACGACGACTGCCCGCCGCCGTCGCGTCGCCACGCCGTACAGAGCGTGGTGACCAGCGTCGAGCCGCCAGCGCCGCCACCGCCATTGTTACCGCCGCCGGACATCAGACACCTTCAAAAGGAACGGGTGCACCTGTTGGAGCAGCTCGAAGAGTGCCACAGCAGCGGCGACGAGGTGGGATTCGCCCCGAAGAAGCGCGCGAAACTCGACGGAGCATCCACCACGATCCTGTGCGAGGACGACGAGCCTGAAATCGCGTCCTTGCTCGTCACCTCGCACTCCAGTAGAAAAGGCATGGACATACGGCGCGTCAGCGACAGCAAAGTCGTGGTGCATCATGGGACGAGGAGGGGTAGCTGCGAAGGCAGAGGTCCTGGACCTTGCAAGCGCAGACGCGACGTTACTAGCAGGTATGCATTCGAAATCATAGAATCATATTTACAGACACGTCATTCTTATACAACTTGACAATATTCTCCCAGTTGTTGGAGTTAATAGATTTTTATGCTCACACAAGAACATTTCTTCCTGATGTCAATAGGTCCATGTTTCGTCTCTGACTGATAGCAAATTCTTATTGTATTACTTTGGATTTCTTTAGGGGGAACTTGTAATCATGTTCTACTACTTTTGTACACTAATGAGACTTCCCGTTTGTTGAATGAAAGCCAACGGATAGTTTCTCTTGCAGGCATCACGAGCACCACGATGGATCGCGACCAGGAACACCATTGGTCGACGAGAGGCCCGAGAACTTGGTGCCCAGTGAGCCGCGGCGGTTTCGCGAACGGAGTCACGAGGGGCCTCTGTCGTTGCCGTTGCCGAGGTTCGCCGCCCAGATGCTGAACAACAACAACAATAACAACAACAATACCAGCAGCAGCAACAACAACAGCAGCGGTAGCAACCGATCGAGCAACGTCAGTCTGGCGAAAGTGGCCAGCCCGCCGTGCGCGAACCTGTCGACGGTGCCCAGTCCGCGGACAGCGCCTCAACCGCCTGCCTCGCCGCCGCCTCGTCATCTCAGCCCGAGTCCAACGAGCTCAGACAGCGAGACGGCGCCGCAGTCGCCCAGCCTCGAGGAGAGGATACGGTCTCTCGACGAGAAGTACGAGAAATGGTCCGGTTCGAGGGCGCTGAGCGCGGCTGGCGGCGACGCGCTGGCCAAGCTCGACGCCACCGCGTCCGAGCGTTTCAGGTTTCGTCACAAGCTGCTCGATCTGGACCTGCACGAGGTGCAACCGTCCGACATCGTCAAGTCGGTTCTTGCCAAACGGAGTGTGTTCGACGAAGACTCTAAGCGTTTAGAGAACTTTAGTGAAAAGTACGAACCGAGAGAGTTCACGGGCGTTCTGAACGTCGGTTCGATGATCGGCAGTACGAGCGGCCTCGCGTCCAGCGGTGGCTGCACCAGCAAGGTCTGCCTGCAGTATCCGTTTCCTAGTCATCCGCCGGTGCAGCTGACCGGCGGCGGTTCCGCGCAGATCGGCATGACCGCGTCCCTGTCCTCGTTAACGTTCACGACCACCATGTCCTCCGCGCTGAAAACGGATCCGCGGACAACGGTGCAGCACAACTGCGTACACCCGACACCGGCGACACCCATCACACCCGGCACATCAATCAAAACCGTTAGTCCGGAATTGCCACCGGTTTCGCTGCCGATCGGTCTCGGTAGCGGGACGGCAGCCAGTAGCGGCAACAGTAGTGGTTTAACGTCAGCTAGTAGTATTCTTAGCAGCAACGGTAGCGTAAATAGTATTCACGTTTTGGGAGCATCGACGAGTCGAGGACTGACCACCGCCGCTACGTCGACGCCCGTCGCGACCACCGCGTCCACCGTCGCGTTCCCGACACCCACACCGATCACGACGACCTCGGTCACCGCGACGGCGGCGACGACGACGACGACAACATCGACGACGCCTGCGACAACGATCGCGTCCAGCACGGTGTCCTCGTCCAGCAGTCAGTACCAACCTTCCATGTCCAGTGCCGCGTCCACGGTGCCACCGTCTTCCACGACGTCTTCGTCGAACTCTTCCTGCTCGTCGTCGTCGTCTTCGTCCGTGGACAGCTCTCGGTCTCGCTTGAGGAAGGAAATCGGCGGCAGTCGGGAGAGCAGAGACTCCCGCGACAGCAAGGACGGCAGGGACTCCAAGTACAGCAAGAGCAAGGACTGCCAGAGGAAGTCGCGGAAAGAGGACGCGGATGTCGAGAGGAGCCGTAAGGATCGGGACGAGAAGGACTCGTTGGTGAACGATGTCGTCGAATCGGACGGTCACGCGAGGGAGTTCAAGGAGAACAAGGAGGTGCGTTACGAGAGGAAGGAAAGGGAGGAGAAGGAGAAAGAGAGACGGGAGAAGGACGATCGCGAGAGGCAGGAGAGGAGGGAGAAGGAGGATCGCGACAGGCAGGAGCGCAAGGAACGCGAGGAGAGGCGAGAGAAGGACGAGGAGAGGCGGGAGCGCGAAAGGTTGGATAAAGAGCGACACGAGAAGGACAAACGCGAGAGGGAGGAGAGAGAGCGAGAACGAAAGGAACGGGAGGAGAGCGAAGCTAAGGAGAAAGAGAGACGGGAGAAGGAACGATTGGAACGTGAGAAACGAGAGAGGGAGGAGAAGGAACGTCAGGAGCGCAGGGAACGGGAAGAGCGGGAAAGGAGGGAGCGCGAAGATCGGGACAGGAAAGAACGGGAGCTTCGGCTGGAGCGAGAAAAGCAAGAAAAGGAACGCGTCAGGAAGGAGAGGGAGGAACAAGAGAGGCGGGAGAAGGAGGAACGCGACAGGAGGCGAGAGGAAAAGGAACGTCTCGACAGAGAGAGGAAACGCGAGAGGGAGGAGAAGGAACGACTGGAACGGGAACGACGGAAAGAAAAAGAGGAACGGGAACGGGCGGAGAAAGAGAAGCGTGAAAAAGAGGAGAGAGAAAGATTCGAACGCGAGAAGCACGATCGTGAGAAGAGGAGGGATCGAGAGGATCAGGAGAGGCGCGAGAAAGAAAAATCCGAACGCGACAAGAGGAGGGATCGAGAGGACAAGGAGAAAGATAAGAGGGACCGTGACGAGAGCAGACGACAGCCCACCGAGAATCATCTTCATCAGTCCGTCTCTCAGTCTCAGAATCAGATCTCACCCGCGCCCGTGTCCATCAAGCGGCGATGTTCGTCGCAAGATGGACCAACGGAGGACGAGGCGAAACGGATGAAGATCTCCGAACACTGGAGGGACAGGCCTAGGCAGAACAGAAGGTCGGAGGATCGCAAGCATCGCAACGACTCTCATCGTTCGAGTCGCGACAGCAGAGAGAGTCGAGACAGCAAGGAGAGCAGCAGCGGATCCACGCAAGCCCAAGACAGCAGGGAGACCAGCCACGGGGAGCTCAACAGGGAATCCAACAGAGAAAGCAGAGAGAACAATCGCGACAGTGGTAAAGAGAAACAGCGAAGCAAGAAGAATCGATCGGAGAAAGAGTCCAGGGAACGAAGTCCCAGGGTCTCCCACGAGTCCGATAAAGAATTCTTGTCCAGGCTAGAGCTCTCCAAGCGCAACGATTCCAACTCGCCCAGCGAGCAGACGTCGGTAGGTTCCAATCACTCTCGAGAGATACAGCAGCATCATCAGCAACAGTCTTCCATGAACCTGCACAGCGACGTCGACGATCCTTTGTCCACCCACGACATGGAGGTCACCAGGCATCCGTTGGCCACGGACACCGACAGCGACGAGCCGAAGAAACACTCCATCTTCGACATCGTGGACGACGAGCCTGCTTACATCAGCATGTACGACAAGGTGAAGGCGCGCTCGACGAAGAACATGCAGAAGCTCGAGGAGGAGAAGCGTCAGGTGCGTCTGAAGGACAAGTTCTCGCAGCTGAAGCAGAGTCGAGCGAGACGAGAGGAGAAGAAACAGAGCACGTCCTGGGATGGGGACTCGGTGTCCAGCAAGGCTCTGACGGAGGACGAGGCGACGTCCGAGTCCGACTCCGCCAGAGCGAAGTCACTTTCCAGGAAGGGCTCGCGATCTCGAATTCATTCCGACACCAGCGAGGAGGACGAGTCGTTCAACAACAAGATTCGCAAGGTGAAGACCGAGAGGTTCCTGGAGAGCGACGTGGACCTCGGTTTCGCCGACACCGAGGAGAAGCACAACCCTCTGGAGGCCTCGACCGTGGTGGTGAGTCATGCGACAGTGAAGGAGGAACCGCGTACGTCCGACGACGACGAGAGGATCTCCGTCGCCTTCCGCGGAAACCATCCCACCATTGTGGTGAACAACCACGAGAGGGACTCGCGCAAGAAGTCGCATAAAAAGAAGCAGAAACGACAGAAGAACTCCATATCGACGGAGGACAGTTTGAAGAACGAGTCGTCGGAGAGCATCGAGCACAAGAACAAGTCCAATATCGTGACAGGGAACACGGAGTGTCGACCGAATCACACGTCAGAGCCGGCTGCTATCACCACCCCCACCACACCGGGAACGACGGTTTTGGAGAACACCAACGAGGAGAGAATACGGTCGGAGAAGAAGCAACGGAACAAGAAGGACAAAAGGAGAGATCGAAACGGCGACGAGAAGACGAAAGCAAGGAGAAAGAGGCTCAACAGACAGGAAGTTAGAGACTCGCAGCGAATGGAGGACATTTTCGGGCCGCTTTCGGACGACGTCGACGACGGTCCATCCAACACCTTCTTCAATCACCTGGGCAACATGGCGCCCGAGAACAACGCGTACGCTACCGACAGCGACGGTGGCCACAGTCCCGTGTTGGACGTGGAAAGAGTCAGACGAAAAACAGAGAAGAAACGGCGCCATCAACCCGAGGACGAGAACAGCGTCGACCTGGCTGAGGCGGGACGAGAGATCGAGGCGAAGCTCCTGGGGCTACCAAACTCCCCTAAGTCTGGTATAGTGTGTACAGAGAACAACGACCACGACGTGTTTCGATTTACCGATGACAATGACAGCGTCGAGCCGTCCACGCCGTCCACGGTAACGGAGAAGGTCAAAGAGAAGAAGAAGAAGCGGAAGAAGTCGAAAGAGGAGCGCAGTCGGAAGGATTACCATCATCATCACCACCACCACCATCACCATCACGAGAAGAGCGGCGAGTTGCCCTATTTGGGCGCGGATCCCAGTCCACCCAGAGCCAGTAGTCCTTTGATCACGAAAACGATGTCGCCCACCTTGCCATCGCCTAGAGACACCTTGTTGAGTCCTATCCCAAAAGTTACGTCCAGCGTGACGACGGTACCGTCGATGTCCCCTCCGGTCGCCAGCGGCGGCATTCAGTCCTCGAAACCAGAGAAGAAAAAGGAAAAGTTCATACCTGGATTTGGCATAGAGATTGACGAAACCATTCACGAGAACGCGGTGAAGAGTATCTCTGAGCCGGAGGAACGCGAGGGAAGTTGCCAGTCGCGCAGTGGCAGAGAGGAGACCGACGTCGCGACGCCGACGACGCCTCCAGCACAGGCGGAAGACAAGCCACGAGTCGCCATTTCTCAGGAAGAGACGGAAGATGCTGTCGCCGCGTTGCTGGAGGAGACCTTCGGCGGATCTACGGAGGATTTCTCCTACGAGGGTGAGGAGGAGGACGCCGAGGTGGACGACACGGTGGGACAGCAGCCGGAGGCGCCTCAGGAGGACGTCGAGGAGATGCAGCAAGCGGTCGAGAGCTTGAACGCCTCCGCAGGGGAGGGCGAGACAGATTTGAAACCAGACACACCTCAAAGCGAACACGATCTGCAGATAGACACGGACACGGAGGAGGACCCCAACTACGAGACGTTCGACCTGACGCAGCCGCCGAAAACGCCAGACATTCCATCGTTCTACAAGTCACCTACGAAGACCATCAGCACCGTCGCTGCTGCAGCTCCTCCATCCATAGCTGTAGCAGAGAAACCGGTCGAAACGCGAATCGCTGTACCAGCGAAGTCTCAGAGTCCACCGGCGTCCGTTATTGCACATTCTTGGAACCTGAACGAGAAGCCTCGTGAGGTGGTCAAGACTGTACAACAGCTAGAGACCACGGACACGACCATCAGCCGCGCCAGTCCAGAGAGAATAACCACTCAACAGGCGCATCGTGTCTCGACGTCTCCGCCGCCGCAGTACAAGCAGCCAGCTCTGGGGCCGTGCAGCGTCCCCATCACCAGCGAGACGCCCAGGATCGCAGCTGCCAGCCCCAGACCACCCATCACCGTGCAGCCATTGTACCAGAAGCTGCCCGTGTCGCCACAGTCTCAAATGGTCCCGATGCGTCAGGCTTCACCCAGGATGCAGAACATATCCACGGTGTCCTCCTCGGCTGCCTCGAACCTAACACCTCTGCCACCGCTAGTTCCATCGAGGATACCGCCTTTGGTACCCTCGCAGCTGTCGCCTAGAGTCTCGCAGCCTCTGTCGCCCAACGGACAGTGGTCGAGGAACCCGTCGTTGAGTCCTCACGTGCCCAACGTTGGCAAACCATCACCTCCGCCGGCGAGAATCGCCGTAAGCACCACAGTGTCCTCTCACAGGCCGGAAACGCCTTCGCAGCAGATCTATTCCACCGCGGCTACCCAGCAGCCGGTGATTCAACACGCTCCAGGGATGAGAGCTCTAGCGCCCAGTTATCCTAGGGGCGGCCTACCACCGTTAACGTTGAATATTCCGCACCGTCCTTACATGCCAGTGAAGAGCTCCAGGGACTCGGCCCTGGGCGGCAAATCCGTGATAGAAACGTTGCTACCAGTCAACCCTAACGAACCTCCACAACGCCTGGAAGAGCCGAAATTGTCACCTGCCGTGATCCCCGAACCCACGAACAAAGCGTCCACGTCGCCCAAAGTACCATCGCCCAACCAACCGCCCACGTATATTCCTGAAACAGCCAAGATCGAGATTAACGCCAGCACCTCCAGCCCTGTGTTCGGGAAACCAACCACCATCGCTGACACCTGCACGCTCACATCCAGATCTCAGAAACAGATGCCTGGTTCCATCACGACGGATAACAATTTATTGTCACCCAGACAGAAACAAGAACTGTCGAGTCTTCAACTTCTCACGACGCACGTACCGCGCTCTTCGACACCGAGTCCTGTGATAGTGGCGCATGGACAACCTCATCTGGTTCATAAATCCGTGGTGCACAGTATCGGAGCATCGACGGTCGCTACGACCAACCAACCGCTGATCAAGACTGTCGTGCCGATAGTGCCGCAACAGATCGCTCCCACTGTCCCTGTATCGGTGCCTGAAGAGAAATGCATCATCTCGCAAACGTTGCCTTTGAGTACGGCTCAGAGGCACTCGCCTGTCTCGCAGGGCAATCAAATTCCCAAACCTCATATTCCTCTTGTATCCACCGTTTCTCAAGCCATCATAACCAGAGCACCGTCTGTCGTCTCAACCATACCGACGCCAGTGGTCACCGAGCAGACTAAGATCGAATGTTTGGAGCCTCCCGAACAAGAACTGGAAGTGGATCCCAACGCTCAGATGACGCAAACCGCTCAACCCATGCAGCTCACTCCGCCCATACAGCCTACGCAGCCGATGGACATCGTGAAAGACGAGCCTGTCGAGGTGAAACACGAGGAGACGCCGATCAAGGAGGAGTTCCCGAGCACCGAGTCCGAGTTCCCGCTGAAACAATCGTGCGCGAACGAAACGAAACCGAAGATAGAGCAACCGGACCCGGTCAAAGTCGAGAAACCGTCTTGCATACCGAAAGTAGAGGTCACTGAGACCATCGTCCCGAAGGTGGAGATCGAGACTGTCAAGTCTGAGCCGGTCAGCGAGATCAAAGAGGAGGAGATCACGAAAGAGAACGAGGAGCCGGAAATAGAAGAGGAACCTGCGGAAGATCCGTTGAAAGAACCAAGCACGGACCCATTGGCCATCGACGTGTCCAAAGAGGATCCAGCCGACAGCAAGGAGGACAGCGATTACTGGTCAGCGAAGGAGGTGAACATCGAAAGTGTTATAAAGAAGGTGGACGCCCTATGCGATGGCGAGGGCAACGACGGTGACGAGGAGACCCAGCACGGTCCGAACTTGAGCAACGAAACGCAAGAACAGCCGAAGAACGAGCCCGAATGGTTCGGTACGGAACCAACGGAGAACGAGACCAAGAAGAACTTTTCGACGAACGACGAACAAGACGAGGGCGTGGAGACGTGCGAGAGCGAGTCGACGAGGAGTCGTCGCAGCAGAACGAAAAACAGACGAGGAGTGAGCAGTCGCGGTGGTGTCACCACGAGACGAAGCGTCAGGAACACGACGACCTTTCCTCATAAACGCGGTAGCAAGACTTCTAGGGGTAGCAAACATCACGTAGAGAAGAACAAGCTTCCGGCGGACGTCTACGAGTTCCACGACGACAGCGAGGAGGACAACGCTGGACGTCCGCGACTGATTCTCACGATCAAGTCTCCGGTACCGAGTCTGGTCGGTTCCAACGCGCAGCCAGCAACACCTATAGCCGCTGTAAAAGAAGTCCCGCCGGAAGAGTTCGTTTCTCCAGCCGCGAACACGAGGAAGTCCAAGAGATTGGCTGAAAGGGATGGAAGCCGAAACACCATCGACGACGTCATCGAGGATGTCGTGCGTGGATCGGCTGCGAACAAGGGTTTGGCGGGTGGAACTACTGGTGTTCACGCTACCAGGCGCAGCACTAGGCACAACAACGCCCCGCGCAGCGTGCAATCTACGGTGCAACTGACGGAACCTCGAAAGTCGACCAGAGGTGGACGCAAATCGATAAGGCGAGCGTCGGAGAACAACGACGATAGCAGCGAGGAGAAGGTCAAGGAAGTACCACCACCGCCTCCGGAACCACCAATCAAAGAGGAAGTTGCTCCAGTCCGGGATGAACCACCGAAAGCGGAGGAGACGAGTCAACCTAATCCACCGCCCACGCAGAAGCCACTTTCTCACGAACCGATGACGCTGATAGACCCAGTGACTGGAATGCTGATACCAATGAGAGAGTCGGAAGAAGGCCAATACATTCCAGTATCCACGGCTGCAGGTCAAATACAAGCTGCGAGCAGAGCTGCTGGAATGATCACTGCTAATGCAACCGCCGAAGCTTTGCGACCAAAACCACCTCAAATCGAGAACTTAACGAAACCTGAAGAATCGAAGAAGGAACAGACTGTGGAACCAGTTCAGACGCAACAAGTTCAGATCCAACCTCAGACCAGCGTAATCACGAAACCACAATCCCCAGCCGTTCAGGTCACTTCTACGGCCAGTATAGTTCAGACGGTCACGACATCCACAACAGTCGCCTGCATACCTGCAACAACAGTGGCAACGACAATAACAGCACCGCCTATATGCACGACGCAGCCAAAGCCTACGAGTCTGAAAGCACATGTTCTGAACGCCAGCAAACTGGTAACACCGCCCGTGCAACAGCAAATCGTTATTACCAAACCTACGGTTCCCAGCGTGCCTAGTCAATCGGTGGTACAGAACATCGTTAAACCGACGCAGGCGGTCCAAGGACTTCATCTACAGATACCTAGCGGCAGAGTCGTTTCTCCCAGCCTGAGTCCACGCACGAAGCAGGCTCCTCAGATCAGTGCAGCGAATGGAAAGAGTCAGGGTCAACCCATGTCACCGGTTCTCAACAACACTGGAGTGCCACCAAATCCTAAACAACATCTATTGCAAGCCGCCAAACAACAAGCTTCCACGATAGTGAATCTACCTCAAAAGCTACCGATGAACGTTCACCCAGCCAGCGTGACAACAGCTCCAACTCCCAGGATACATCAACCTGTCTCGCAACCCACAGCTCTGAAAGGCATCAATGGTCAACCGCATCCTATGAATCCGAAGGCCCATTTGCTGCAAGCAGTAGTGCCACCGATAGTCGCTGGTGCCGTGGCGAGTCCACCTACGCAACCACATCTCATGAACCCGCAACCTGTCGGTGTGAACTGTTCCAGACTTCCAGCACCAAAACCACCGGTAAGGATATTATTCTTCTGACACTCTGACTTGGATATATTTTTCACCAGCCACAAAAATCAAAGAGAAAATATTGACTTTCATTTTGAACATGATTTCAGGTAACGGGAACGATGGAGCCACCGAAAGTAGAAGTATCTATGTCTGGTTGCATTATGGTGCCAACAGCGAGCCCTCAGTCACGCGGAGTACCACTATCGAGTTACGATGGGCCATTGGTAAGCAAAGAACATGCACAACGTATAGACATTTGTTATTTGGAATCGCGTATCAAAGATAGTACAATTGAATACATAATATTTATTCATGTTCCATGCTTATTTTACGCCCAATTGAAATTAATCTGCCCGTGTATAGTAGCGAGAGATTTAATATACTAGATTTTGTGTGTAATTACGTGAAATATACATTTTCTAAAAACGATATAACGCACAGACTAACTTTGCTTGGTTTTGGCTAGCATGGGAGTGCGGGTGCTGCTCCATCACCAGGGGGCCAGTACGGACTTGTTCCCCCGCATCGTTCCCAGAGTCCTCCATTGCCCCCACCTGCCCATCATCATGCTAATGCTTCTCAGGTACTTACTTCTGCTAACTTTCAATTAAAGATACATTAATGTTCGGATTGACGTTGACCAGTGTTATTAGTGTGTAGTATGCTACCGAAAATACGTATTGTTTAACAAAATATGCATCCCAATTTCTCTGAAAATAATTCCAACCGAATTTACTCGTTGCAGGGAGACGTTGTGAATCATTATGGAGGACTGACGCGAGGCGGAGAACTACCACCGCATTATATGCATCCGCAAGTGCTCCAGTATCAGTATTTACGTGCCCAGCAAGAAGCATTGACAGCTCCACGCATAGCGTATCACATTCCAGGAACTCGATCTCCTCACCTACCGTTGGATCCGAAACTCGAGACTGGTATAGAAGACAGTCACAGTCCGCCGTTAGAGCTGAGACGAAGCACAAGAACGCCTCAAGATCGTACCACCGACAGTCCTCAAGTAGCTCAAGTTTACATGCTGCACGGTGCAGCCAGATTACCGCCACCGCCGCCTCAGTACAACGCAGGAACGAATCCGACCTTGACCGGAGCGCCAGCAGCCGCCAGGGGTGGTTTCTACGAACCTCCGCCCGCGCATTTACGTTCACAATATCCAATCGCTGCCAGCGAGGCGCCAAGCGATAGAGCCATCACGCCCGACAGGCCTAGGAAACATCAAGTCGTCACTCCGCCTCATGCCTCGCAAGTACCACCGCAAGCTGACACGTTTCAGATGTTGCTCCAACGTTATCCGGTCATGTGGCAAGGGTTGCTGGCGCTTAAGAACGACCAAGCAGCAGTACAAATGCATTTCGTGTTCGGTAATCCAAACGTAGCAAGAGACAGTCTGCCTTGCAACAGCGACGGTTCTACTCCGCCGTTGCGAATCGCTCAAAGAATGAGACTGGAACAAACGCAGGTCGAAGGTGTGGCAAGGAAAATGCAAGTACGTATCCGAAAGTCGTATCCTAATTTGAACGTAACAAGTTTAACGTGCGTACGATATTAGCCACGGAGAGAAAGAAAATTATTCAAAAATACGAGCCATTCATTTGTTTAATTTCTCTTTCACAGATGGATAATGAACACTGTATGCTACTCGCGCTTCCGTGCGGTCGGGACGAGGTGGACGTGTTGCAACAGAGCAAGAACCTTCAGACTGGATTCATAATGTATTTACAACAAAAACAGGCCGCTGGAATTGTTAACATCGCCGCGCCAGGCTCACAACAGGTGTGTGATAGACGAAATAGAAAATATCATCTTTTAATATTTTCAGTGCGAATAATTCAGCGTCGAGTCATTTGTCGAATTCCTGTTTGCTCGTGTTGCAAATAATCGTTAGTCATTAGCATATGGATAATATTTGAATGAACGGTGGCGAAGTAAAGAAGAAAGGAGTGCGACGCAATCGATAAAACTGTAATGAATTTCGTTTACAGCCTGCGTATGTAGTTCACATCTTCCCGTCGTGTGACTTCGCGAACGAGAGTTTGGCGCGAATCGCGCCGGACCTTTTGCACCGGGTCGCGAAGATCGCCCATTTGCTCATCGTCATTGCCACGGTTTGAGGCCAACCGGTGGTCTACTGGATTACAATCTACCTGTGTCTCTCGCCTTCACGCGCTATAGGACGCTTCGCATGTGGCATGAAGCCTGGAGTGTCCCTCTGACGGGGTGCAGAGAGTCGTACAACAAAAGAAGAGAGTACATTCTCGAACGGAAACGGTTTCCCCCTCTGAAGAAATATCAGTGACAATCAAATGGATTCTGGCGAATTCGTGCCGATTTATAAAATCGTGGGCCTGAAACGAGGTACGGGGTTGTGTGACGACGGGAGGCTAGCGCGGTCGATGCGTGACCATCCACCGTGCGTGCCTTTCCTCCAATGTATCGCGAAGGCGGGCCCATTTGATCGAAAATGGCTCGCAGTACGCTCATCACTGACAACTATTTGTGAGATCGACCGACGTCACTCTTGGTCTTTCTGACAAGCGGGTCAGGCACAACCCCAGCCCTTAGTGGAAGACCATCGATTAAAAACCACGCGATGTCCTCGAGGAAAAAAAAAAACTCACACTCGTCCCTCCTAGGTAAACAAGTAAACACTACCTACCGTTGCTCTAGATGGACAGTCGATTTCGTAAGTAAGAAATAGAGGAAAAAAAAAAAAACTAACGTACCCCTACCACTATACACGAGCTATTTTAAGTAAGGCTTAGATATTAATGATACTGTGTAAATTATAAGCGAGCCAGCGAGGGCATAACTACTGTGATTTTAATTATTTAACGATATATGTCTGCGTAAAGACGAAGAAAACAAAAAGTAAAAACAGATAAATGGTGATCGATTACGGTCCGCGCGGTATGTGATGTGTTTTTTGTATAATACTGCTCTATATAAATACCTATGTATTATATTACTGTAACAATAGTTGCTGCTGCCGCTGTTGCTGCCGCCGCTGTTGCTGCTGCCGCTCGTATCGAACTAGAAAGTAAAGTTACGATCTAGACCTCTAGTGAAAAGAAAAAAAAAAAAGAATGAGCGAAAGGACTACCTAAATAGCGTTTATCCCTAATGTAATATAATTTCCATAGCAGGATGTAACATATTATTATCATTATTATCATCTTAGCACTATGTACATTATAAAAAAATTTTTAATATTCTTATTTTGATTATTATTATTATTATTAATTATAATTTTATTAATATTACTACGGTCATCATCATCATTAGTGCGGCTACTATTATTATTATTATCATTATTATTATTAATAATATTATTATTATTATTACTATCACTACTGCTACTACTACTATACTACTATACTATTATCATCACTACTACTACTATTATTATTACCACTACTCTACTACTACTATTATCGCTGCTATCAATTATTATTAACGTTATTACACCAGGCTAGTTAGAACGTACCAACCCGCACATTTGAAAGAAGGGGCTTAAAGTATGTCGTACTGGAAACAGATACAGTATGACCGATCTCATTGACCATTGACGTCGCCCCGTTCTACACACTTCCATCCCCATTTCTCTTAACCCCTTATCGCCTTCCGCGCGATGTGTCATAGACTCTTTAGCAATCGTGTCGAAGATAATAATGCGCTTACGTGTATAGACCAGAAAATTACACTATATCACACGGAGCCGTGAGAAAACATATTAAGTAATATAAAGAAACTTACCTATTTACGATATTATTGCTGCTGCGTGTAGGGCGCATGCCTCTAGAGAATAACCTTATGTAAAAGTATTAGGGATGGTCAAAACATATTTTATTCCTTAATACCGTGTTCAATCGGTTCCAAATGAAATTCGTTCTTTCCGAGTCGACGAAAGAGGACTTGTACATTTTCCTTCGTTGTTAATCGTTGTTAAGGCTATCGTCGTGATTAATGGTCATTTTTTGTTTTTCATTTTTCCCCCGTTACCGTTTAACTAATGTTGAAACGAGTACGATGCACGACTACATTCCGTTTGACGAACGGGGTGTTCATAATGTATTTACACCGATATAGAGTCGACGACACGTTAATGCTTTTAATTTCCCTCGATTTTTTTTCTAATTGACACTTTGATTTCCTCGGCGTGCGAGCAATGCGTAGCGTGACGCGCATTGTCCGAACCATACTTCTGTTCTGACGACCCCTAAGAAAACACGATTAATTTAAGGCAGCGCTGATACTCGTGGAGAGCGTGTGCATGTACAGTGTAAAAGATGCGTTGTGCATATGTACAGTGTAGAAGTATAAGTGAACGAGCGAGATGATAAGTATAAAAAAAAAGTATATATATTACAGCTACGGATAAGTATAATAGGACGCGAACAAGACGCTCACGTCGCGGTGTTTCGTTCATTTTCAGAAAACGACTGGTTAATTCTGTTTCCTCTCTGCCCTTCGTGTTCCCTTTCACCCCCCTTCTCTCTTCTGCTCTTTCTCTTTTTTCGTGGTGGTCATTTCATATATGTATATATATATATATATATATATACATATACATATATATATACATATATATAGAGAGAGAATTCAATTCCCGCGGCATGCGTGTCTGCCTCGTGTCTTATCTATCTTGTAAAATATCTGTGAATATTATGATTTAGTTTCTTCCTATTATAGGCTACTGGTATACAAAAACGTTTATGTTACTACTTACTTAAGGAAAGAAATGTACAGATATCACCATTTTTGTTTTGTGTTTTACTGTAGTTATTGATAATTATATGGATATTAACGATAATAATAACTATGATTAAAAAACTTCAGCACGGCTCGACGCGTCATTTTTGAAACCCGTTGAAAGCGTCATATTTCATTTATATGCGTGGTTCTTGGGAACGATTTATTATTCGCTGTACGAAGTTATCGCGCGATCTATTCACAACCCATCGATTAGTAAGGGAAGATAAAAATCACGTTGTAGGCGTTTTACATTATAAATTTCGTCACTTAGAAGTTTAGAAGCTGGACTTCGCATCACTCGAGAGGTAAAAATAATATAACACGTGAAATAATACAACACATATTTATTTGCATCTTTTGTGACATGTTTATTATTATACTCTTTGCTCGTTTGTACTGGCTTTACACATCGATCACTCGTTGAATGAAAATTTTGCAAACATTTGTTATGAAAATGAATATGATTTATCTTTTTCCTTAATAAAAATTAATAGACTCAGTACGTTTAATGCAGATTTTACGAGGGCCAATAAAATTAAGTCTGTTCGCTGTTTCGAAAATATTTATACGAGAAAATAACTATACACCATGGTATTTACGCCCTCTTCGTAACGTCCACAGTATTAAGATGCATTCCTGTCTTATATTGATATTTTGTAATTGGTTATAAAAGCTTCTAATAATATTCATAAATAAAATATAAATTTGAAATCACTGCAGCGATTGTTTTAAAACGTGTATTAGAAGCCCTGAGAATTTCTTTTGATAACTCGTGTATTAAATTTTACAAAATCCGGGACACCTTACTATTTTAGGTTACTTATTTTTACAATTAAAACTAAATTTTAATAGTAAAGGACACATAAGGTATATTACCGAATATTTCATAATTGTAAAGTATAGAATTTCGAATTCTTATAAACTTTACATATGCATATTCATCATTATATACACACATAAATTATTACTGTAGAGAATTATAAGTATCAACATACGTTTCGTTTAAAGTGCAAGAATTAATTCAGAAACCAGGAATAGTGCATCAACTTTTCGAGGACCGTTGTGAAAAGGTAAGTTTCCTGCTTTATTTTCATTGCAAACCTTTAGAAAATCTATTACACTCCATATAATCGTTTCGTGTTAGAGAATTTTGGAAAAAGAATACCTCAACTTGTTTAGTTTTTCTCTTTTGGTTTGAACCACAGATGCCAGACAGAGCCCTGGGTGCACCGAACATCTCATTCCACTTTTTCACACTATGTCAGATCACTCGTACATGAGGTCGTAGAGTTCCGGAGTGTCGACAAAGGCAAACAATTGCCCTCTTTCTCGATTCTCCGAAGCCGCCCGAAGTAATTTCGGACCGCCTCGTGGGAGTCGAGAGAGGAAGGCTCATTTGCCTTCTCGCTCTTGAACAACTAAAAACCGATCCCACGTCAACGGCATACGACTGCCCAGGAATTCTTACTTTCCGACCTACGTAGGCGCACGTAAGCAAGGTACATACAATAGTGAAAAATTTTGTGAAATTTCTTTTACGGAAATACACGTTTCAAGACCCCCTGATCATATTTTAACCATCGAAAAAAAAGAAATTCCTTTTTATTATCATACTTCTGCATTTTCAGACCTCTGCTGACTATTGCTGACCATTGCTAATACTTCTGACAACGTATAACGATTACGACTGGCTACTGTCAACCTCACACAGCCTCTGCTGGTCTCTGCTGACCATTGCTTACATTTCTGACAACGTACAACGATTACTACTGACTTCTTCCAACCTCCGCTTGCCTCTGCTGACCGCTGCTGACCACTCCTCATACTTCTGACAACGTCTAACGATTACAACTTGCTATTGCTTGCCCCTGCTGGTCTCTGCTTGCCACTGCTGCCCTCTGCTGACCACTACTGACCACCCCTTATGCTTCCGACAACGTACAACGATTACTACTTGTTCCTGCTTGCCCCTGCTGGTCTCTGCATGCCTCTGCATCCCTCTGCTGACCCCTGCTGGTCTCTGCTTGCCACTGCTTGCCACTGCTGCCCTCTGCTGACCACTGTTGACCACTCCTCATACTTCTGACAACGTCTATCGATTACAACTTGCTATTGCTTGCCCCTGCTGGTCTCTGCATGCCTCTGCAACCCTCTGCTGGCCCCTGCTGACCACTACTGACCTTTGTTTATAACTTCTGCCATCATATATATGTATTAAAACATTGTATAATGTAAATCTATGGCAATAAATGTTATAATTTCAAAGAATTCTATGTGTTCTCGTCATTTTTACCTTCCTTTACCTCTCAAAAGCATTCCCATAGTTATAACATACGTCCCACCTCTTCCCATATCATGTCCTCCTGATAACTAAGTCTAAACGGAAATGTTCTCTTAAAAATTTTTACCCGAAAAATTTCTAAGTTCCTCGTAAAGATTTGAGGGGGTCCCGTTTAAATTTTTCTCAGAAACCGTTACTCTTATACCTGCTGGCAAAATCGAGAATTCATTTTTTTCGTCGAAAAGTCCTGAAACAACTGGGAAGTCCTGAAACAGCTGGAAAGTCCTGAAACATCTGGAAAGTCCTGAAACAGTTGGAAAGTCCTGAAACAACTGGAAAGTCCTGAATTTTTAGCAAAGTTCTGAGTTTCAGGACATTCCAGTTGTTTCTGGGCTTTCCAGCTGTTTCAGGACTTTCCAGCTGGTTCGGGATTTCCAAAATTCGAAGGAGTTTCAGGACTTTCCAGCTGTTTCAGGACTTTCCAGCTGTTCCAGGGCTTTCCAGTTGTTTCAGGACTTTTAATTTTTGATTTTGGCAGCAAGTACGAGAGCTGGACACTTTGGGAATCTAATTTTAACCGGAAAACGGTTTCTTAAAACTAAGGCAATGATTTGGAGAGGAAAAGAAAGGTAAAAATGATGAGAACACATAGAATTCTTTGAAATTATATCATTTATTGCCATAGATTTACATTATACAAAGTTTTAATACATATATATCATGGCAGAAGTTATTAACAAAGGTCAGCAGTGGTCAGTAGGGGTCAGCAGGGGCCAGCAGGGGACAGCAAAGGGATGCAGAGGCATGCAGAGACCAGCAGGGGCAAGCAATAACAAGTAGTAATCGTTGTACGTTGTTGGAAGCATCAGGGGTGGTCAGCAGTGGTCAGCAGTAGCAAGCAATAGCAAGTTGCAATCGTTATACGTTGTCAGAAGTATCAGGAATGGTCAGCAGCGGTCAGCAGAGACGAGCGGTGGCAGGCAGATGTCATTAGTTAATCGTTGTGCGTTGTCAGTAATATAAGCGGTGATCAGCAGAGGCCAGCACAGGCTCGGAGGGGCTGACAGTGGCCAGTCGTAATAGTTATACGTTGTCAGAAGTATCAGGAGTGGTCAGCAGTGGTCAGTAGGGCCAGCAGAGGCTGGCAGAGATGCCAGACAGAGCTCCAGGTGCACCGGGACATCTCATTTCACTTTCTCACGCTATGCCAGATCACGCGTATGTGAGGTCGTAGAGTTTCAGAGTTGCCTTTCGACAAAGGCAAACTGACACATGCCCCCTTTCTCGATTCTCCGAAGCTGCCCTAAGTAATTACGGACCGTCTCGTGGGAATCGAGAGAGGAGGGCTTTATGAGTCAGTAACTGTAACGAAATGCATAAAAACGTATATTTTAATGATGTAAGTTTAATAGAATCGTTAAATCGAAGGATTTCAATTTAAGGACTTCTGAATGAATCTTACAATATAATTTATGTTCATATATTGGCTCTGAAGGTCACATGAAATATATGTGTATAATAATAATATCGTATGAGATATCTTTAATATAGAAGAAATAAACGGGACAATAAATTTGCGTATAATAATATTCTATTCACAACGATGATATGATAAAGTAGCATCGAGAGGCAACAATTTCTTTGCGGAAACGGTACAACTTACATTATATATATACTTATATATTACATTATATATATATATATGTGTATTATTGTATGTATATGTGTATATGTACATATATAATGTAATATAGTATAACAACACTGCGGAAAGCTTGAAAACACTCCATTCAATTTTGTTTATTTTCTTTTCTCGTCGTTTATAGGCATAGTTGTATTTATATATATAAATACATATATATGTAATATGTATATATTATTTCCTAGCGTATATTTATGTTATGCTGTGCTACGTTAGAAACTTTGAACAATAATACTTTCCATTTTCAGCACATCATCTTTCTCACAATGACGGATATACAATAAATAAATATTCATTCATTCCGATTACAATTATCACACGAATGTAGTTTCACAAATTACGATCGTTCGTACTAGCAGCGCTTGCAACCACTTGTTCGCGAAGTATTTTTTATAAGAATCCCGGAATAGTTAAGAAAAGGACAATGGCGTATAAACGAAAAATAAACTTGACTCTAGCAATAAACATGTTATAAATGAATGGTATAAATATAAATTAGTAATGCAATAATTTAACTATATGGACACTACGCACCCAGATTTCCTTTTCTTCAACTATTCTCGTATTATACAAAATGCACTATCGCATGCATCGTTCACAGGCAAAATTCCATTGGTTTCCTCAATTCTCATTCTTCCATTCGGCAAACTCGTTGCTTATGTTTCGGCCAATGTAGCTATACTTTCGTAAAATTTTTTATTACTATAAAGTATCTCCTCAAAAGATAGTTCTCTACGTTTAAGAAAACGGGTAAAATCGATTCGAATATCCTGATACGGACTTGCCACAATGTAAAACGGATACATTTAATGCTACCCTATATTTGGCTCCTGAGTGAGATCAACAGTGTTCCCTTTTTCCTTCGCCAGTTCACGTAATATTATCGGGTTCGTGAAACGTTGAAAAGTTAGAATGTAACTCGCTACGGTCTACGATCTCTCTCAATATGCAAAGAGAACCTCACTACGAGTCACGTAACTGGTTGATGGTACAAGAACATCTTCGGGAAAGGGTTCCAACCGCTAAATTCGATATTTGTTTACATTTAGAATTGAGTTCGATAGCGTCGTACGTAATGTTGATTGTACATTGTTACATTGTTCGTCTATTCGTTTGTGTCTCTATGAATTGCACGAGTCGATTAGAACTAACGAACATGATACACTTACGGTACGCGAAAATGAAGAATGATTTAACTGATACATGAAACGATTCTTAGGCTCTGTTTTCTTAAGTGCTTCGATACTTCGACGATAAATGTAACATGCAATCATATTGAGAATAACGTAACATTTTTTTTCCACGTTCCGTTTCTCTACGATTTTATACGACATGGGGTGTGACGATGAGAGGGTGAAAAGACAAACGATCCTCCTACGCAAACATTATAATTCGTACGTATTGTCGCCCGAACGAAAGTGGTACCAGCCACTTCTGCATCACAACCAAGGGATCCAAATTCGACACCTTTAGTTTCACACACGCTCGATCTCACTTTCCTAGTTTCCTTTCATCCTAATAATAATAATAAAAAAAAAAAAAGAAAAAAAGAAATATAACAAGAACTAAAACACAGAAGCAGGTACTCTAAGAGTTAATCGTGTACCGTACAACATCGATACAGATTTGATCACAAAGAGAGACAAACGATAACGACAGTAACGCGGATAACGCTTCTTCAGAATGCCCGAAGTGTAATGTAAAAGTAACGCGTCGCGTGTAAATACACGTGGAAAACGAAAATTGCGCGTGCTTCCTGTACATATATATCTTCGCCTGTACTGGTGTACCATCGACACCAATTACGTACGCTATAGAAAATATACAAATTCTTAATGTACTACGTGAAAACTATATATGGCTTTTGTAACCGGTTCAGATAACGGGCCAACCAGTCGACTCGACTAAACGATCCCCTTTCAACGTAATCATTAATGAAAGATACAAAAAAAAGATGTCGTTGTTTCAAAGTACCATTCGCCCCCTGCCATCCTATTCGAGCGTTTTATCACGTATGATCGCGATACTCGACATACGTATACGAGTGTGTAAATGATTTGCGTGTATTTCGATCCGTTTGCGCAAGGGGGGAGGGGTGGAGAATATTTATAGTATTTATAGGAAATTACACAATATTAACGTACACGTATGTATATGGTATGTATACACATACATGGTTAACGCCTGATATACACAATATGTATCATGTACGAACGGTATTCTTTCCTTCGATTCCTTCGAGCGTTCTCCATTCAACGATTTTAAAACTAGGCGATAACGATATTAAAGTAAATAAACATTACAAGACGTTAACGCATGTATACGAGCATTGCTGACAAAATTGCAGAATTAACGACCGGATTCGATGAAATAATCTACGGGCATATCACGGAATAAATCGTTTGAAATTGAAATTTTTGTTCCCGTAAGTGACGCAGTTGGAAATTTCAATTTCGGACGACTTACACGGCGCATATGCGTTTGTATATACATAAATATAATAATGATAGCGTCTAGTCCAATGAATATTAAGTATTCACGTAAATAATCAATCGTTTCTTACATATGTACATATTTTGGGACATCGAGGTTCGCGTACAACTGAAGGTGACTCAACGCTGATTATTGTCGAAATTCAGAGTGGCGCGCGGTATTATGTATCCTACGCGTTAGCAACCATCGTTTCGTTCTTAACAAAAATAAATCGACGGGCGCAAAAATCGTCTGGTCACTTTCGCGAAAGTCAAGAGAAATTAATCGAACAAGAAGAAGCGTAACAAAACTGGAGATAAATCTACGTAATCTCAATCGGTAGAAAACCTCTTATAGCTCGTCGACGACGGACAATGCGAGCGTAATACTAATACCCAGCAAGCGACTGGAGTATCACGAAAATACCGCCTCGCGGAGACCGCGGTAACTTGCACATACACGAAGATATTTGTATATATTGTATACAATTCTGTATATATATAGTATATATATATAGAAGAGAGTTACTAAATGGCAGTAGGGAATCAAATAAACTGATACGTTGTAGTGCCAAGTCCTGTGTACATCTCAAGCACCGGCAAAACCGTATACTTCTAGTACCCTAATCTCAAAGTCGCCACTAGCACAAAGAGGTGGATTGTTAAACGTGGAGCACCGATCTGTTTTGCCGAATCTTATGTTCTCGTCCATCCATATCGCTTGTCCATCTCTGTAAAAGATTTTGCAAGTAGTTTAGATGCACCATTCTGATCTAGGAATGCAAGATAAATGATAAAAGCTTACCCTCCGCCGATTGTTATCATCTTGGAGTCTGCCGCCATGAACAGTTCGGCCGAATGATGAACTTTCGCGTCGTTGTGCGAAGTGTCCATGCCTATCCAAGGATACTTTGCTCGTTCGGGGTACAAACTGAACAGGAACGTTTCTCCCGTACCGAAATAAGCTTGTCTTTGTCCTTTATCATTTTTTAAATTGCGCTCGCACCATCTAGTGGAACAGTAGGCACCGAACACCTTGGAGAAACAAAATGGAGACGTTGGTATTGAACGTTTTTGGTAAAGAATCGAATATATCTATATGTTGATTATACTCACTTCGTTGTTACACGTTTTGATCATCAGCAGAGTTGGTTCGTGTTGCTCCACCCTTACGTAAAATGTTGTCAACGAACAACCATGCTCTTCTGTCGTGTACAGTAGAATAGGTTGGTACATAGTGATCCTCATTGGCAGCCAGGACCACAATGTGAATAACTGTCACAAAACAAATGAAAAAGAGTTAGAACGATGGATTTACTAGGATCGATGTTTGAAACTGTGCAAACATTAGTTTCCAGTATAATTTTCTAGTCCTTCAAGAATACAGCAAACTAAATCACAGCAGCGGTAGATCATGCGCTTGACTGAAAAAAAAGAAACGAAAATAATAGATGATAATAAAGCCAACAAAATATTAACATCAAATTTGTTTTGATCTTTGATTACATTTTCTTTTACAAACGTTTCGGAGAAAATTTAAATGCATTATTAGTTTTCGTTTTTATTCAATTCTCTTGTACATAAATAACCAATATATTTTTTTCTTTACATCGAGGTTTAAACTGCGTTTGTCTCGTTAACTTTTATCAATAATATTCAGGTAAAAAGTTTCCTTTATCATTAGCGTCGCTTGAACGCGAATAGAACCTAGACTTGCATGACTTCAGTCGACTTCTAAAAGTCTGTTATACTGGGTGTAATGAATAGAAACTACTACGAACGCTATAATGTGCTAAGAAACTAAATATGCTTGAATAAAATGCAAAAAAATCATTCGCCATGCAGAGGTGTACGAGCATCATTCAAATACAAAGTGAATTGCCACAACATTATATAAACTTCGATTTGAAATGAATTAAAGGCTGTGAAATTGGGAAACTGATGGTACAATGCGGATGACATAATGAAATACCGACTACATTTCATGTATAACTGCGTGTATCTAATTACACGTGTTCTAGAACATCCAAACAATTTGTAATAACTACCATCGTTTCGCTACTTGTTATTTGGTGTTACGTTCTAAATCACATTGCACGGGTAATTCTCTAAAAAAAAAAAACTCGCATAAGGGAAATGCTGCAACACAAAATTAATAAGGGGTCTGGGGGGAAGGGATTCTAGAGTGTCACGTCGAATGCGTAAATAGAACAGGAGCAACACATGCCAAATTAACAGCAGAGGGTGATAAAACACGGGCGTTTAAATTTGTTCAGAGGAGCACGAAGCGGTGCACTGTTCTAATCAATTTAAATCAGGTCATACGCCATTCAGTTCAATGTATAGACTGTAAGATATTACACCTCAGGCAAAAGAAGTACAACAGATGTGATAACGAAATCATGACTAACAAACTATACAGCTAATACATTTTATACCTTCCAAACGAATAACAACACACTTTCGTTTACACCAGTCTGACGTTATCTTATTTCTTTTGTTTTTTTTTTTTGTTTTTTTGGCAAGTTTAGAAGATCGTGCTAAAACAATTGCCACTGTTCAATGTTTTAGGACGTGACTGTATCGTACACGTTTAGGCTAGTATCGTTAAGAGAATAGCCACGGTGGGAACAATTACCCTATGATACGTATCATGACTCATGTTAATATTTGGCCATCACGGTACACTGTATATTATTGTCTCGTATTTAAACTTTATTAAGTTTATATGAAAAGCAATAATATTCGAAGCTACCATGACGTCTGAATAGGAACTAGAGTCACTGTACTTCAAGGTGTCCATATGTACATACACCGATAACGACAATATCGACATGCCACAGAGAGGCGGACCAGCGAGCTACAGAAAATTCTGCTACTGGCGAACTTTGATCAATGAATGACCGTAAGTACTTACATCAGGCATGTCTAGAATCTGGGAACATATGCTTTGTATGGGATAAACGCCCATTGACAGAGCACGCGGTCCAGGACTGTGTGCACCCTACACCCATCACCATTAAATCCATCATCATTCCAGTAACGCAGCATTGACACAAGACAACATAGAACCGTCAGTTACAGCGAGAATACGTCATTCGCTGAACTTTACGTATCAATGAGAATAATTATACGAAACACTGGTTAAAAACCATCGGAGACACAGAGCATACAGAAAAAAAAATACAACAGCCAAAGAATGTTCATAATATAGACGGGATGCTCGACTCGCTATTAACCAGTGTGACCAATGTATAATCTCGAAAAGGAATTAAACAGATGTATCGATGTGCTAAGGAAGCGTTGAAAATAATTATTAGAAAATTATAATGCGCCATTCGTACGTTCGTTTTCGTGTTTACAGCTGCTACAACTAAAAAGACATGATAAAAACAAGAAACTGCTGGTCCAATAGACCGGAAGTTCGTCAAGCGCGCTGCCTGCATTCACTGATCGAAACTGATGGTCACGTTTGAAGCATTCCTTCGGGAGAGAGATTGCCCGTCGTTTTTTCGCGGGAAACGAGTACGACTATCCTATCGATCAATGACAAGCAAACGTCTCGTGTAGCCCACTAGTAACAGTCACCATCTATATTCCGAGATTTCTCATTCTTTTCGCAAATAACTGTACAGTACCAACGAATGAATTTTTACGACAGAGTAGATAATTCTGTTTCATCGTTGTTGCGATTTGGCGTGTCGTATTTGCGGAACACTGAAAGCCAGTGAAGATCCAATTAATAAACGACCAACTTTAACGGAAGATAATCATTGTTATTCTGCTGTTGATAAAGGCAGTAACCGCAAGTGGATAGACGGTAACAGCAACAAAGCTGGCACGATGAATGTAACAATGGGTGAGTATGAATGAATGTAACAGGTAGAGTAGTTCAGGAACAAAGGGCAGAGCACATGAAACTAACAACACATTTCCCAAAAAGATAATTATACGATACCCTGTCTTTGTATGTGTCTTCACACTCTTTCTGAAAACAAAGTGAATCATTGAACAGCTTTTGCATAGTATCTTTCTGATACCCTAAGAAACTAGATTTAAACGACGATCTTTTCAACGTCTACTTTGTTATTTTAATATAACATCAATATAAACGTAAACTATTGATACTAAACCATTGAACCTGTAACATTTCTTACAAATAAGAGAATCATTCACAATATTAAATATAATGCGTACAAAGTAATGAGCTCACATATATGTACACTCTTTAACAATTTCAGAGTCTGAAAATAAATAGAAGAATGTCATCGTTAACATGCCAATGTTGAAAACCAAAATAACTCTTAACTACAAAAATTCACAGAATAATTAAGAACCAATCACAGGAAGAGACAATCAGATAGAATAGAATCATTGGGTATAGGCGAATAAACACGGGAAAAGTACCCTTGAACCGATTTTGACTTGTTACACGTCAATTGTTAATTCCTTACGATTTCTACCAAGTGATTTTCAATTTAAAAAAAAACTTCGTGAAAAAATCGTGTCTACAACTGCAAATATAGTAATTGTCCCAATTGTCCCAATTCCAGAACGTATTAAAAATTGTTTTCTTTTTGGGAATGAACGATTAACGTATGACAAGAGTCTAAAAATCGATTTAATGGTATTTTTCACACGCTCGTTCATAAACTTTTAGCATGTACGTGAGTCCACTTGTTGAAATAAATTTGTCAAAGACCCGGTGCTTCACACCATGGTGAGAAAAATAGGAATACGGATGACGTACTTCTCGTATCGTGAGCGTGTGCGACATCATCTGAATGTTGACTTGGGACTGACTCGTAGGCAGATTGTCCGTGGATCGTGACCGCGCCAACGATCTGGATCCCGTTAAAACGCTTCTACTTTTAAGAGCCATTTCTGTGCGCAAAAATACCCTTGATATGTATGCAGAACTGAGACCACGTATTCCAAACGCGGTTCGTAAAAATTTAGCTGGCGTTACCTGCAAGTCCACAAACACGATTATTCATAACGCGTACTATCGTTCCTGGTACCTCGCTAACGTAAGACGCATTCATGTCTCTTTACTCACCGGTATTTGCCTGCAGAACTTCGATAGTGTAGCGTCAATACCGCTTTTAGAAATTTCATTCATCCATTCAGAGTTCTGCAACGATGAGTGTTTATAGAATAATAAAACTATAGCCATTGCTACTCGATAGAAGACCTAAAATTAGAGAAAAAGAATAGCATGTAGCGATGATTCACGAAGAAAGAATGTCAGAGGTCTGAACCAGTGTTGACAAGTTTACCAAGAATTACTTTACACAGGTTGGAGCCTTTAAGACAAGCTAAGTTATTCAGATGGTCTGTCTTAATCGCTCTGTATATCACGCGTTAAAAAATAATCATTGTTCAAAAATGCATCTTGAACTGATTTTTCACTGGCACGGAGTCAATACTTGGACTTAATATCCATACTATTCCTGGAAGAGCACTTCATATTATGCGTATCTTTTGGTTCACCTTCTTGAACGGAGGCCAAACTTTTTCAATGTGCCGTAAGAAGATGCAATAAAAATCTAAATGCTCCGGAATTACTTTCCTCTGAATTTCGTGGCTACCGACCTTGATGCCTTCGTGAAGAAAACAGTCCATAACCCTGACTAGATGTTGGAATGGGAGAAGTTGTAGAATCCACCAGATCCAGTCCATGTAGATTCTTTCTGCTCTTGATCCAGAACAGTGCCTCGCTAAATGTACCGCGGCTGATTTCTGCAATCAAGAATTAAAATTCGATACTTTTTATACAGCAAATACCATTTAAATACCGAATATAGGAGTGATGCATTCGGTATTCGAGGATACGTTGAACATCAGTTACAGAGGTATTTAATAGTATAAAATAACTGTATAAAAAATACTGAATTAAATTATCAAGTCATCCCTGTTCAATTCGGTTCTTTTATTCTCAGATTTCGCTGATTTCTGCAATCAAGAATTAAAATTCAATACTTTTTGTACAGCAAATACCATTTAAATACTGAATATAGAAGTAATGCATTTGGTATTCGAGGATACGTTGAACATCAGTTACAGAGGTATTTAATAGTAGAATAACTGTATAAAAAATACTGAATTAAATTGTCAAGTCATCCCTGTTCAATTCTGTTCTTTTATTCTCTTCTGTTTAAGAGGAAAGATTGTTCTTTCAATTAGAAAATCATCGAATACTGGTACCACTCTGTTCATGAAATCTGTATTTATAGATGAATGAAAATCATTTCCAAGCAACTATGACTTTTACAACTTCTTCAGCGTTAGAATGTGACTCATTTGTTCGTAGTAATGGTCGATTAGGACGCACCACGTGCTTTCTGGTGATCTGCTCCACAGTTTTCCAGGTGACCTCGTAGAGGAGCTTGGTTTGCGTAATGAACATCTTGTCTTTAGCGGCCACCAGGCTGGCCATACAATGATAACACTCCTCCTCTGCAAGAAAACGCATTTTGTGAATATTCTGATTTCGGTCTATTAATAACTGGGATCACATCCAAGCGCGCGTCTACGTGTTCATCTATGTGATCGGGGCAGGAAATTCGACGCACGGCAGGCGATGTGAATTTCCATTGTGCATCGAACAAAATGGACAGACGGCGTAAGATGATTATCTACATAAACGGGCCCGTTTATTTATACTCGCCTGGCATAAAGTGAAGAAGAAGCACTGTAATGGGATAAAGAGAAGGACTGTAGGTGATATCAGGACAGGCGTATCCTAGCACAGACACGACCCTATCCGCCACACTCCTGCCTGTTCTTGTCAGGTTGTACGACAGGCAATGAGTACTATCCACAAACGGTGGTAACATGATTGATTTTTCCGGCAGCTCTGTAAACATATACAATTCCGAACTTCAATCACGTTGCTGAATAAATACGCCGCTCGGAATAATTACACGATCATCCGATCAAATAAATTTTTAAAGCACCGCGTTGTGTCGCATAAAGTGGATACAGTACAAATTATATAACCATTAAGACATAGCCACTTTGCATTCAATCTTCCAACTACTCGAAACAAGCTTGAGCAAGATGACGCTTACTAGCTAAAACTGGAGGGTTTGTATTTGACCCATTTATATTTTGCGTTCTGTATCTTTAAAAAATATTTATAGATAATTTTCTGCCATAAAGAACGACTGGGCATCGATTCTTATAACACGAACAGGCTGTGCATGCTCAAAATAATTAGAGCATCAACTACTCAAAAGCAGTAATTAATGCGTTTAATTGAAAAATTACCGGCCTTTCTTCTAAGTGTAGTTACATAACAAAATTGCTAAATTATACAAAGAATTTTTTATTATAGAATGTCTTATTCGAAATCGCAAAACTGAAAGTAGCGTGTTTAACGCGCGAGATTGGAATATTTAAACATTTTTAAATACGATACAACAATGTCAGGAACTCTGATTATAAAGAACATGCAGTATTAACTAAACGAAATAATAAAATTATCCATTGGGTAAACGTACCCAAACTTATGTTATTAGTAATCAGGTCATTAAGAAAAGGACAATAGCGTAACGAGAGCCAAATTTTTGAAAGAAGAGAAACTTGTCAACCCTTTTGCAACAACAAACTTTAGCCAAAAAATAGTCTATCTGTATGAATGTATTGGGAGGCTAATAATACATATCCGTCTAGATAGGTTTTCAGCACGTTATTATTAGAATGGCAAACAAGTTCTTGAACAACTCCGAACATTAATCATTCCTAAAGAACATGACAAACGGTGGTAAAATTTTAGATCATAATTGAATATAATTTCTTGAATATTTAATAATACATCGAATTCGACCAACGAACATAAAAAGCGTTCAAAACATATTTAAACCTTCTTGTACAATAATGAATACATTCGTTCGCTGTTACATAAATTTTCAGCTCGCTGCAATTCTGGTATGCAACACATCTGCATAATATACTCGGTATTATAATGCATCTACTTTAATTATATTCAGGCCAGAAAATATTGATCGCTCAAGGTCATGGGGCGGACATCCCCATATCGCACTGTTTCGCTGCTTCGCCATTGTCTCGTCCCTTCCCTCGACTTTTTATACATGGTGTCCCACAGCGAGCGAGACAATTGACACGAAGGTAATTCTAAATTCAAAATTAAATTTTTTTCCCCGTTTTATCCCCTAACAATCGCCCCCGTGGATTATTTAAGTCGACATCCTCGTTGGTTTCTAAGAAATCAGCTTGCAGCACTTTATTCGGATCACATGGTATATATGTATACCGTGCATGTACGCGCATGCGTAGTTCGGGTATCTCCAAAATTGATTTTCTCGAAAACGAAGCTCCGTGCAGAAAAATGTTACCCTACGCCTTCAATTTATTTTTCCACATGCCCTATTTCGCGAGACAAAAAGCGGATCTATTAAACAAGGAAGCACAATACATAAATGAAGGATCGTCGAATTTGCTCCACGGTTGGTGAAGCGACCTTGAACGGTCAGTATTTTCTGCGCCAAATTAATCTTCATGATGTCCATTTATGTACGAACGTATGTCTCTATGAGGGATCGTTTAGCATTGGTTCGTCTCTTTTTGTCACGACTCGCCTTACCTGAAGTGAAATTAAATAAAAGTTTAATCAAAGTAAAATTAAATAAGATCCCTGCTCGTATCTGATAACGAAAAAATTCGAATAATGGAAGCTCTACGATAATTGTACAAATCGAGATAATCTATTGTACAGGTGAGAACACACCTGTAGTCCCGAACACTTGGTTGACCATGTCCCAATAGAAGCCATCGAGCATGTTCTTGCCGTGTGCATGCTGGTTGCAAAGAGCTGGCCAGAGTTGCGCCCTGATCCCGTTGTTCAATGGCCACGCGTTCTCCCTTATGATCAGCTTAACCTCCCTCTTTCTGCCAGCCTGGAGAAGCGCGTTGACCTCGTTGAAGGTCTTCAGCGCTTGCTTCTTGCTGGTAGGCGACTCGGGCAGTATGACGATGTTCGCCGTGTCAACGTGCGGCGGGAACGCGTCATCGATATCGACATTCGTCTCCTCCTCGAGTACCGACATCATATTCGGCTGATTGTCCATCGAGGAGGGTGTCTGTGTGACTAACATCGCAGGTAGCGTGACTACGGCGCGAGATTCATTTTCATGGTGTCCTTTGCCCACACTCTATCGGTCGCGATATTTACGTCATGTCCTGGGACGTTTCAATTTTCATCTGGAATCAGACAAAAGTTACGTATCAATAAAATGTTCAGCGATATAACCAGGACTAAAGATTTCGAATCGTCGTATAAACGTTCTGGGTCGAAACCGTTATGGACGGACGATTATTGCTACGCGAATCGATGTCGCGAAAATGTAGGGCAAGATGCAACTCGTGAAAAAAATAGAATATAGGTGAAGGAGATAAAACGAACATGTAGAAGCGGTAAGACGCGAAGGGTGTAGTGTACTCGAATTGTGGGAGTCGAGAGGGTTCAGGCACGTGTTCGGTTTCTTTTTCGGTCGCTAAGAGCTTACTCTTGCGGGAGTAGTAAAAATTTTGGTCCTCGATTGAACTCTCGTGTGAAAGTAAGTCGAGTCTAAATGAACCCTAGTCCGGAAATCAAGTGTGGAAATCGAATGGTTGCTCAAGGTTATAGAGAGGTTACTTTCCCGCCATGTTGTTTACTCTGGCAACTAAATTTCGTTCGACTAACGCGTTAAGGAGCTCAGGCATTAATGCACAGATATGGGTTTCTTGTTCCATCGAAATACATTGTAATTTTACAGCCTATTCAACAATCTCTGATAATATTAAATAATCGCAAAATGGAGGTACATCGTGCGCCTCGCTAATTACAGCCAAGCTTTAGCCACCAGAGTTGAATGCCACTTCGAAGGCCTTCGAAACGATAAAAGAATAATGAAACTCATCTAACGGTTACTTCCTCGACTATAATGGGCATTGACCTTAATTGTACATTTTAGGGGTAGATTTTCCATTACCCGTCAGTTGATAGATTGAAACAGATATATCATCATACCTAATCAATTACTGTCTTATATTAGTACAAGAGTTAAATTTCTAAATACATTTAACTGTTACTTTCTTACATTAATTATGAAATTTATAATTAAAAGCATAATTCTACATTAATATCGTAGAGATACATCCAGTGCGGTAAAATATTCCATTACATTCTAACACGAAGCATGATCATTTATTACCGTGATAAATCAAAGTAATTATAGCTTAATGAACATTTGCTGTTGCCCATAATTTGTTACTTCTGCAATATATTACGAGCTATTGGCTTTTCAATTTCGTAATAATCTAACGTTTCAGTTACAATTTCCCTATTATACGACCGATTTGTTACTTTACGTTTTCTTTCGCACGTTGGTACTCTACATACTGCTGTACCGACGAATTCACGATAAGAACACACGAGCATGTAAGTCGACGTAAACACGGAACATTTGTTTTTCTTTACTAGATGGCACTGTTCAGATAATCGCACGTTCAACGAAACCGTGTTCGTACGACCAAACGTCGCTTAATCGGCGTTCATTTAATATTGGGGAACACGGTCACTAACCATTTTAATTCGTTCACAATATTTTCGTAATTAACCACTGCACAAAGAGCACCTGTTCTTACATTCGACGATGGCGCATGAGCATTATCTGCTACGATTACATCGTCGGTTTTATAATCTAGCGAACTGTATTTAATTCTATTTTATTCGTGTCCACTTACAAAGATCGCCTTCCCGACTGGAGTTCAAGACCGAACGACCGTTCACGATTCCGAGAATCTTCCGTAAACATTCCCATAATAACCGTGACTCTAGTCAAATGTATCATCCGTTTAGTCCGCGATGCATTTAATCGCGTGACCGCTCGTACGAGCGAAAAGGGAAGAGAAGAAGAAAAAAAGAAAAAGCAAAGAGGGGAGAATTATATCTGAGCCGATGCATCTCTCATGATACCGTGTAATATACTTTTCGTTGACGTCGGTTTGTTGAGGCGCGTTGGTAGCTTTGCGACTGAAATCAATTGTCTTCTGTAAGGATGCCAGCGCAAACAAGGCACGCGGTTCAACGTCACTTCTCGTATTTCCAAATGACTGCAACATCGGATTGCTTCGCTGGTGAGTTCTGATTCATTCGGTCGTTCGTCACCGCGCGAATATTGTTTACGAACGAAGGACGATGTAACGCATCCATTTTTATAATAACAGAATTCTATCTTAAAGAAACGCTTATACGCCGGAAGTATCGTTAAAATATTTATTTTTTTTCCGCTGTATTTATTATTATTCTTAATACCACCAAAGCTACATAAATATTTATTACCGCGCCTAAATAGGACTCTAATCTCGACCGGTTATTCCATCGGAATAAATAACCGCTGTATTGTATATAATTATCTTAAAACAAACACACCGAGGCTCAAATTACTCGGGCCACTTGTTTTCACAGTTCGAAGTTGCGAGCGTAAACATTGCATTTTCGTATACCAGTTTCAAGGAACGCCGAGCACAGAAATATATGGGAGTTCTAGGAAACCTGTAACATAATATCTTCGCGGCGACGTTAGCCCCGAAAGTTCGACGAGAACAGTTGGGGGGAAAAAATCTTTCGTAACGTCGTCGATTCGTATCTACGGTCGAGCTAACGTTGCAGTGGTGTCAGCGAGAAATATAAAAGTCACCGATGCGTTCGAGCGAGAATAAAAGCATATGGTGGCGGGTTCGATTCGCTCGGAACGAGTGCCGATCAGACAATGACCTCGACGACGTGTTTCTAAAGGAGGCAGCCAGCAGGAGACAATGGATATATAATATCGCCTATAATTAGCCACGTAAAAGCTGCCGCTAATAATAAGCAAACCAGCCAGATGCGAAAACCGTGAGTGCCGATAATCACGGTGTGCTTAACGGTTATTAATAAAATGGTCGAGTTATCGTGCAGCCATAAACACGTTTAATGCTTATCAACACACCATGCGCGACTCGGGAACATTACTGCACACAATCCGTAGACAGACTGCTCGGCAGATAAAGCTTTTTACGACGACGACTGGAGGCTGCACGGCAAACAGAATTCCCTTATCGCGACACGGAATTACCACGAATTGGTGTTCGCGAGGAAAAATGTATCGAACCAGAGATGGACAGATTTTTTTACACGAGCAGATAGATAACCGATACGATCAACGTATAGCAATCTACTTGTCGCGTTTATTTGATCGAACAGATAAATTTTTATCTGGATGCGAATTCTTCCCATCTCGACGTTTGGTTCAAAAAATGGCTCGTCCTTTTGTCAGATTCACTATACGCAGTGTTCATTTTGATTAGTATCCAGTTGATAAACTTTCTAGTATTTAAAAAATAATTATTCCTTTCAGAGTAAACGGAACCAACCAACGCGTAAAGTAACGAAGAGGGTGACATGAAAAAGAAACAAACGTTGATAGGGAACGTAACTTCGTACGTATTAGATTGTGTGGTCACTTGTTATTATTCTAACTTCTACTTTTCTTTCGTGGTAATTTAATGGAAACATTGGCAGTAGCACTTTTATTTATTTATTTGGTTTTCTTGCAGACGAAGTGAGAAAAGGGTAACTCGAAATGCTCGAATCGATTTTTTTACAGCCCTCAATAAATAAGCGAAGTTGAAGTACCTAGGTAAAAGTAAGTTTTAAATAATTAGTTTCAGGAATAGAAGTGCCTATAGATGCCCTAGACAACTTCAATTGATTACAGTGGTCGTTCGGCAAATGAAAGATCTCGGTTTCAGCGTTTCGATCGACCGATTCTCTCTTTCCACTCACCGGTGTTGAAAAGCCGGAGTGCGTGCTTCAGAATATAGCCTAATGATATCATCGTACGATCTATAGCTTGATTTGCAGAAAAGTACTCTGAAAGAACCATTATGTCCAAGCGACTTAGTGGCGACGTTTAAACAAACAGTAGTCGGTATTAAGATAGAATCGATACGATCGTCGTCTGAAACCTCAAATTAAATGTCTATGCGACTTTGTGTACACAATACTATATCTGATAGAGTTGGTACATTTTTTTCCGAAACTTTCCAGCGAGGAGCCGCGTTTATTTGCAATTTGATAAATTTGTGTACCATTGTTTACGGTTAGATACACATTAAGAAAATCAAAATTTTATTGCAGCGGTGCTATAAATTATATTTTATACAATGCCACTGTAGTGCCATAGGCCACACGTTGTACATTGTTCTACTATAAACATACTGTTAGGAAATATATAGTACACATAACACTGTTGTACATATTATAGTATTAATGTAAAGACTTTTCAAGCTGCCCTGTACGATTACATTCTAAGCCGGCACTATGTAGTATACCGCACAATCCTAGCATTGTAATGGTATGAAGCTATTAGTAAAGAGTCTGTGCACGCAGTAATGGAAACTTATCGGTAAAAAGAAGTTACACGATACGTACAATATCGTTCACAATTATTCAAACGTCTTTACTCGTCCGAGAACAGTGCTCACTCTGTATTTCGTAGTACATATATATTGTACACCATTCTGAACAATAATTTAAGTAGAAAAGGTTCATTCCCACCAGGAAATTCCCGGGGCATCAAGTGAGTCTGGAAGACACCAGTCTTAATATTTGTACGAACTACGTCTACTATTACAATCTATGGTTTAAGATAAACAAAATAATCCACGGTCATAATTTCTAACGAGTAACAGGAAGGTTCCAAGATAGAGTGAAACATCAAGTTTTTAATAGACTTTGCTAGGATAAATAATTAACACTAATAAGTACCAACAGAATTTTCTAACAATTTTTGCATCGTACTTTAGGTTTGGGTAGTACCAACAAAATAGGAAGAGATGTCCCAGAAAATTCCAGAGGTAAAATTTCGACCCGTAATTGCGCCTGAATATCGATAGAATCGCGACATATTGTTACATTGACTAGCAGGAAAGTAAAAAGTGCTGGTTCGATGCTCGTCGATTAAATAATAACGAGACGCGACGTTGCAAAGTGTGCCGCATAAAACCAGAGATCTATTAATACCAGTGTACTACGACAGCCCTGGTGGCGAAGAGAATTGGTTCAATGCGAGAGCGTGCGACTTCGCGTGAAATCCCCGCGGTTCGAGGCACGCGCGATTTTCGAGACTTACGCTCGATTCTCGGGGGGCTGCCCCCTCCCGCTAGACGCGAAC